AAAAAAAAAACACTAGAACGTCGCACTGTACATTCATTCACAGTAGAAGAATCTCTACAACATCGTAATTAAAAGAAATCTCGTGGCATTAATTTCAGCAAAAATGACGTGTCAATTACCCACCAGTTCCAACAACATAAGTCAACGAAATAACACAGCACATTCAAATTTTCCATTAAACCCTCACTTACCACGACCAACCACCACCGCCCTCAGCCCATTTCCTCCAGGCTCCAACGTCTACCACCGCTATGGTTAACCGTCATCACATACTCCTACCACCTGCTCCAGTACCGTCACCTGCCCCGACTCCTCATGAAAGGAACTATGGTAAGTTGGCCCCATCTCATTCACCGTCGCCGGAGACTTTAGCAGAGTCATCGGCGGAAAGGTCATCATCGCCTCCGTCGAAGCTTCCGGTGGACTTTAGTCCGCCGTTGATTGCCATGGTGGTTATCATAGCAACTGCTTTTGTCATCATAACTTACTCGCGGCTCCTCTCTCGCCACTTTCACCAGCTCTATCGCCGATACCAAAGATGGCGCCGCCGTCGCCGACGCTACGTTCCCTCCACCTCCGCCGGGGACATCGAGTCGCCAACTTACTCCTTCGATCCTATTGACTCTGCTTTCCACGTTCTTTCCCCTTACGGCCTTGACGAATCGATCATCAAAACCATTCCTCTATCAGTGTACACACGAAAGAGAGGAATTCATGATTGTGCAGTTTGTTTATTAGAATTCGAAGAAAATGATTATATTCGTACTCTTCCGGTGTGTTCACACGCCTTTCACGTGGATTGTATAGATATATGGCTCCGGTCACACGCCAATTGCCCTCTGTGTCGCGCCGGGATATTCCGTCCTGAGTCTCCGTTCACACCACTGATGGCAGCAAGAATTCGCCCTAGCCTGGAAGATATGATCGTCGAGAGCACAATCCTCGCGCTTCTAACCGAGATTCCCCTGGAACCTGATTCAACTAGCGTCGGCGAAATCACCCAGGAACGTTCGCCGCGACGGAACAACCAATCCGAGGAACGATTCAACGGCCGCGATTTTTTGTTAAAAAGGTCTTATTCATTTGGATTCGAAAGAAATTTAGGATCAGAGAGATTATTTTTAGAACCGGCAACCACCTCACCGTGGCGGTACAGAAGAGGCGGCGGAGGAAATTTCTGGAATAAACGCCCTTCCCCATTCACTTCATTAACAAAACCTAGGGTTTTCTCATTCCGATACTACAGAGGAATGAAATCTCCATTTTCCCGCCGTCGGAGCGGCGGGTTTTTCCCATTGTCCGAGTCTAGCGTGCGGCTCGGCTTATCCGGCGGAGGAGGCAGCTCTTCGAGAAGAAGCAAGTCATTTGCAAGTCCAATGTTCATGAGATCATCAGCTACAGCGGCTGGGCATTTTTCATCAAGCCGGCTAAGGAGCGGTGATCCAGAGGCGCTATTATCGCCGGAAAGATTTAACAGACGGTGAAGGATGTGACACGTGTACAGGAAATTAATGCCTGTCATCGGGGAACTGTAAACGGTCGGTGAGAGCGTGGCGGGAAATTAATTATCTGCTGGTCGCATTTAATGGTAGGATGGTTAGAAATGACGGAGGCTGCAATGGAGAATTTAAAGAGGTTTGTGCAATTGCTTTCTCTGTCTTCGTGTAAATTTATTTTATAAATATAAATATATTGTAGGTGTATGTATTTATTTAAACTATTCTTTTTTAATTGTGGGGTGAATTGATCATTAACGCAAATAGCTTGGCTTGGCTAGCCTTTTGGGTAGTAATATTGTGTTCATATTAAATTGGACAGTATCGAACATGAAAAGAGACGTAAAGTAAAGGTCCCATGTACGAACCAAGGCAGCAAAGGTCGATGAAAGGCTTTTTCTCCAAGTTTCGTTGAGTTTTTGGATTGTGGTGGAAATGGTACTTGGTCGTGCTTTCGGTGGTGGGAGCAAGAATTTCGAGAAAGCATTTGGAATATTTCATTTTTTGAGTAGAAGCGTTGCTTGCAAAACTCGAAATTTCCCTTACTTTATGTAGTTTTTTGTGGAACGAAATTCGAGGAAAGGGGATTTCGCTATTTTCTTGCAGTGTGTGTGGGGATTTCTTTGGGGAATAGAAGAGGAAATGCGTAATACTAATACATGGTGATGTAAGAAATTTGCCCGACGTAAATGAATTATTTTTGCCATAGAAAATGTGAAAGAAGCTCTTATTGGAACATTGAAAGTAAGGCTGGGCAAATCTCTCGAATCGAATCCGACGGTTCTTGTCAAATTAAATATCCGAACGGGTATCTGAATTGAGAACCGACGGGTACGGTTCGGTTCTCGGTTACCGAATAAGAATCGAATCTTTCTAATTTTTTTTTATATTGAGTAAATCAAATTATTTTAATTTTAATTTTTTCTAAACAAATTAACAAATTAACAATTTCTAAATCCAAATTTTTGGTCCAATAATTTGTTTTATATTTAATTTTTGGCCCAATTACCCGTTTTATTGTTTCATTTCTTAGCCCAACAAGATCCAATCCACTAAATAACCCTAAATATCTACACTAAAGTGCATAACGTTGTCTCGACTCTCGTACTCACTCTCGCAGCCTCGCTAATATTTCAAAACCAATACAATCGTCGATCGACACTGTGACCTCCGATCGAAGCTGTGACATCTGCCGACCGAAATTTTGATCGTAACGATCATTTGAATAAGGTTGTTTATTAGCATCTAACATTTCAAAACCATTGAATGTATCATTAATTGTATTTATCTAATGTTGTTATAAATTTTAAAAAATTTAATTATAGTACAGAACTGAACCGAACGGAACCGAACCCGAACGGTTCCATAATTATATTTGGACCCAACGGTTCCATTTACTAGATACCCGAAAATTTTGATTAGATTCGGTTCTCTTTAGAACCGAATCGAATCGACCCGCGTTCACTCCTAATTGAAAGTTAAAGTTCGAATGGGAGTTTCTTAAGATTGACAAGCGGTTAATGTGAAACTTCATATATTGTAATGTCTAGAATACCTCGTAGTTCTTTGATGCATTTAGTTATAGACTTAAAGCTATTTTTATTGGTAACTCAACATTTAATAAATAATAAATTGTCCGAGAAAAATCGTATATGCATCGTTACAAAATATTATTTCATGTTTACTACTTACTGTTTAAAATAATAAAAATATTGTTTTGTATATGAAATGTATTAAAAATTTCTAATTTCTACTGACAGAACCTAAATGACATTTTGTAAATGACATATTTTGAATACTCCATCGTTCACACCTCACATTTGATTCTTCTTCCAAAACCGGAAAATCAATTCAAAAAACTATCAGTTCGGAAAACTGAGAATGGGTAAAGTATATCAATGGATTACATTGCTTAATCAGACTGTGCTTTCAACACTCAACCGAAACAGAGAAATCATAGAATTTGCATATAATAAAAATTTATTTCGAAGCCTGTATTTTCTTCTTTTCTAAAAACAATTTGAAAATACTTTTGGGTGTTGCCATTGTGGGTCTAAAACTTGTAGAACGTGTAGATCGATGTTTGCTATAACATGAAAACAAAGGAATTTCATAAAGAATATGTTGTTATTTTCTGGTCTAGAGACGTATTTTCCCCCATTTCCGAAGAAGAGTGACTAAAGACCAATCATTTAGGTAGTGGTTGGTTTGCATTTTCATTTTCCATTTTTATATTCAAAACGATTTTTAGTTTTTTCCGAAAACGGCCCGTTTTGAACGTTTTGAGCGTTTTCGACATTTATAACTAAAAACGATAAAAAGTCGTTTTGCGTTTTCAGTTATAAATTTTAACTCGTTATCGAAAATGCGTTTTTGAAAACGATGGACCAAACGCGTTTTTCGCGTTTTCGAAAACGGAACACGGAAAATGGGCTGAAAACGGCAAACCAACCACGGCCTTAATGTCCCTTGAAGAGTCTTTTTTCAGAAAATGAATTTGAAAATAGTGATTTTTTTGGAAAATATATGACTAAAAAATAAGAAAGAGTCTCACAAAATGCATTTCTCACGATCCCAAACTAAAATTTTGTATAGGTAAATTGGCCCAAGCAGGTCTCGAACCTGCGACCTTCACGTTATTAGCACGACGCTCTAACCAACTGAGCTAATAGGCCAATATCATTATTTTGTATAATTCATTCGAGTCAATATATGTGGAGAGTTGGAGTTCTACTCTTTTCCCCAAAAGTTTCGGCACTATATTACACCATTCGTTTTTAATTTTTAATAATTATACGTTTTAATTGCTAAAAAATTCATCATAACACATTTATATCCTAGTTTCTACTCATCACATTCTTATTCTCAATTTTACACAATTTGTCCATTGTGATAGTTTTTGTCCAAAAATTTCGCAAATATCAAATAAAGACTTAGCCACAATTTGACAAATTTATATAAGGTTTATAAAAAGGAATAGTAAGAAGAATGGTAATGGATAACTAGTAATTACTTTAATTTAATTTATAGTATATTTATAAATTCGTACCCAAACAACATATTATTTTCCCGTCGTAATTTTAAGTAAGCCAAAAAACAAATACGAAATCAAGAATGAATATCTATCCGTCTTTTTAAAACATGCTAACATTATTTTTGGTTGGAAACCTTGATTCAAGACAAGATTTGCTAGTTAATAACAGCTTAAAGATTAAAATATGATAAAATAAAGTAAAAAATATAAATATTATAATATATTTATAAAAAATGTAGTGTTAATATAATCACCGTAATCAATATTTAATTAGTTATTGAATTAGAATTTTGCTACTTTGCTCGAATTTTTTTGTTCGAATGGTTAACATCCTCTCACATATCGTGAGTCCCACGTGAATAAAAAATCCAAAAAAAGCGGAGCCCCCGTCATTGTGAGAGTCAATCATCCCCTATATCAAAAAAATTCAAACCTCTCAAGGCACATCTCAACTGACAAAGATGAGGGCGTTTCAAAGATGGCAGATTAGAGGTCATGAGTTCGATTCTTAGAAGACTCTTGGAAGACAGATATTCTTCTGGAAGGCAGAATTTATCCTGGAAGGTATGAGCTCTACTGGAAGGCAAGGTGCAAAGATGGAAAGAACGACTTGCTTGGCACTTTGGCAAATCAGTTGGGGGCTCTTGAGCACTGGTCAGTTTGGGGCACAACTTGTGGTTGAACCTGTCTGTAGCTTGAGGAGCCAAGGTATAGACTCCAGAATTTAGTCACTGTAAGGTGGATACTTGGATATTAAAAAAAAAAAAAATTCAAGCACTATGGCGGGATTGATTGAATTAAGTAGTTCAATTTGGCTCCTAAAATTTGGTCTCTTTCGGCCGTAAGAAGGCAAACTTTTGGCCAACGATAAAATCCTTTTATTTATTCGCAATGAACCTAAAATTATTTTTAATATTAATTGTTGGACCAGTATGAGATTGGGATTACGCTGCAAGTGGCGAAACAGGTTGGATGAAATAAATGGTCAATTAACTCTAATGGTATTTGGGCATTTAATATCACGTGACTGCATTAAATGCAGCCTAAATTGGTTTTATAATCTAGAATATTTTCAAGTGATTTTTTATTTTTAAAAATAAAAATCATCTTGACCACAATAAAGATTATATTTAAGTTTAAATGCTTGTTTGGTACAAATTTTAAATCAATTAAAATCAATTTTTTAATCGTTATTTTACTATTTCAGTCATCATTTTTGAATTCTTCCCTCACAAGTAGGATCCACTTTATCTCTAAGAATCAAAAAAATCAATTATTAAAATCCCTATCAAACAAACACTAACACCCTGTTTGAGAGGGATTTTTTACTCCAAAAAATTAATTTTTTGATCGTTATTTTAATATTCCAACCGTAATTTTTAACTTCTTTTTTCATAGGTGGACCCCACTTTTGTTCTAATGGTCAAAAAATCAATTCTTAAAATCCCTTCCAAACAATGCCTAAGTAAAGAGTAAAAGTTTATAGATACATTCTAACAAATTATTTATTTTACTCTTTATTTCACTTTTTCTAGTATTCATATAGTATTATTTCTCCTCAATTTTAAATTAATATAATTTTTTTCAGATGTCAATAACTGAAATATTTAATATAACTTGATTAATTAAGTAGTGAAAATTTGAGACTAGCAATTTTATTAAATAAAAAATTGATAAAATATATAGATAAATCAAATTCACCATATATTTGTTAAAGTAAAGAACTTCTTGGAACCTAATTCTAAGAATTGGCCAAGTAAAAAGCTAAAAAGAGTATCTCAAACAGCTGTCTTTCTTTTAAAGAACATCTTCTATCACATGAAGAGCATATTAAAAAAATTTTAAAAATAAAGAGTCACGACTCTAATAATATTCTCTATTTTCATTCATTATTTTGTTTTTTCCATAAGAAATTATTGTTAATCTTTTTCTCTCTTTTTCATTTTGCAGAAATCAAAGAAGGAATAGAAATTGTCTAGTAATAAATGAAGTATTGCATAGAGAGTAAATTTGACTCTCTACACATGGAAAGTTAAGGTCTCGTTTGGCCCCTTTAAAACTTATCAATTTAATTTAAATTTTTCTCTCTCCTATTTTCAACCACACAATCTTCAATAAAATAATATTACGCACAAATCGAAATTTTTTCATTCTTTTACAACTATCCAATTTTATTTTTTTTAAATCACTATTCCACCGTTATAAATCCAAATAATGATAGGGGGCCAAACGGGGGCTAAATTCACTCTTTATTTTAATTTTTGAAGATAAAGAGTGTATCGAACACATCAGAAAGAG